TTAATTGTATCCAAAATAAAAGTTTGTGTTTACATAATATGTGTGTGTAGTGTGTATAATTATTTTGTATATATAAAATACACACACATCCATGTATATATTTAAGAAATATTTGCATACTGTATATTTATACATAATTTATATTAAATATAAATATTGTATATATTAATAACACATTTTTCAGAATTTTTATATACAAAATAATTATACACAGTACCAGACATGTATGTAAACACAAACTTTTATTTTGGATGCGATTAATCGCGATTAATCGTTGCCCAGCCCTAGAGATATAGCTACCGTATATTACGATATGAAGAATAAAAGTCACAAGACAACTTGAATAGCTCTTTTTGGAAAGAATTAATCATAGAATCCGCATAGAAAATAATTTACAAGCATAGATAAATACAACAGAACAAAGACGCAAATCAAATAAACAGTGCTTTATGTTTTTCAGGTAATACTAACAGCATTCAAGTACAGAAATTGAATAATCAAATTTACAATAAATGTGTTACATCTACAAAAGTGATTGTCTTTTCTTTTGTTGTTTGATTAACATCAATAACACAGATGGCAGCACGAATATTATGCTGCTGTCACTTTGTACGTTCACGTGAGCCATATTTGACTGCGTTTACAAGGACACCAGCCGAGATGGGCGTCTTGACATCATTTTGATTGTATATGTATATCACAAATAGACGCGATAGAGAACGAAATTTGATGTTTGGGTTCAGAATTGAGACTCTTCAGTGACTTGTTAGGCACGAGAGGTTTAAAATCGCTTGCATTTTTAAACTGACAGAACCGTAAACACATCCAAATTATAAACTTGCTCAGTATGATGGTTAAACTTCGAACCGAGGGGCCTGATCCGTACGGAATAACAATCTCCACACATTATCGATATCGGCCGATATATGATCATTTTTAATGTTATCGTTATCAGCCCAACAAGAACATTTGGCCGATATCTAAAAGCCGATAAATAATGTATTATTTCCTTCAGCTGAGGCACTTTAGATGCGCACTGTTCAACATGATGCTTTTAAGTTGCTTGAAATACGATTGAAATCACTTTAAAAAGCAAAAGCCAGTTAAAGTGCAAAATGTGCAGCGCAAGTCTGTCATATCAGCTACACAACATTAAAATAAGAACATCATAATTGTGTTTGTATCTCTTTTTATAATTAGGCTCTCCAAAATTGTCTAAAAATTTAGATTTAGACTTATCGGCCAATATATCGGTTTTCAAATATATCGAATTATCGGTATCGGCCAAAATTGTCATATCGGTGCATCCCTACCCTATACTTGTCATCGCACATATCAGTGTCAACAGAGTAATAAAAAAACTTTGCGACAAACAGACTGCAGGGAAACATTCCACTTTTGAGGTTAGTGGCAGGTGACCTATGTACAAAAAACCATCCCATTTAAGTGTTTAAACTATTTTCTTCAATCATTAAATGCGCCCATTCAGAGGAACTCGGCAAGAGCGAGCAGAAGGCGAATGTTCTCTTGTGTGGGTGCAAGAGTTCACACGTACATTCACCGTTTTACTGTTCCAACATGAAGACCTCAATGAGTCTTTGTGCGGGCCTCTCAGACGGTATTGCTTAGATTTGTCATCATGTTGATGGACTATAAAGAGTCGTTTGATAGCTTTGAGAAGCAGGACTTTTCTTTCTTTTCTTCACTAGCTGCCAGGCTCAATTCTGTCATTCGTCAGGGAATAATAGTGCTTTAGAGAGCTTGGGACTGGCAGTAAATATTCAAGCTTCTGTCATCCTGAACTATGACTTACATCTGAAAATGTTGGTTTGAGTTCTTAAAAACTAGAGCCCGACCCATAAAGGATTTTGAAGGCCGATACCGATAAAAAAATATTTATTGGTTTTAAAATCCGATATTCCGATATATCAGCCGATATTTTTTTTTTAATTTATTATTTCAGAAACGCGCAACAAAACATTAACAGATTTCCCTAACATTAGTTATTTGTAGTTATTTATGAGTTTTTACTAAACTAATATGATAATGCAATTTATTCAATTGTCACAACAGAACAGACTGATGATAGTGGCATTAGCTAGCTTTGTGGTTAGCTAGTCTATGATGAGCCATAATTTAACAATGGATGATGTCATACTGCTAAGTGTAAAAAATACATTTTCAATAAAACAGGCCAAGGAGAGATGATGCGTCTCATTGCTATAACTGTCACGCGCCATAAAGAAATATATTTTAGTCACATTGTCAAAAGCTAAAAGGACAGCCAGTCAACTACACTGTAACAACGTAACGTAACTATTACTAGCTAATTCCGCTTCACTCTCGGCTAATTTCACAGCATCAAAACTGGACACAAATTTTGTCATGCTTATTTGAGTTAAGAGAACTGATGGGGATGTTCTTTTAATTGTTATTCAAGCAATGTGTCGTGACCAATTCAACGGGTGTAGAGTGCCCTCTGGTGGACAAACTATACAACTCCAACACTCATGACATGGTTAAAGCGTGTTTCGTTCGTTTTTTATTTTATTTTTGAAACATTCATTTATCAGCCATTATAACAGCCGATAACGATAGTTTGGAAAATGCCTAATATCGGCCGATAATATCGGTCTGCCGATATATCGGTCTGGCTCTATTAAAAACATCTATAGCTATGTTTCTATCACGCTGTTATTATGCACATTTTGAAGTAAACGAGTGATGGAAACGGCAAATTTAGAAAAAAATAAATCCCTTAATTCGACACAAGTTTTTACGCTAGTACGAATAATGGGAGAAGGAAACGCATTGGCTGAATAAAAACGTAGCGAACATTAAACCAACGCAACTAATCGGCCGTTTCCGCTGATGGTGTTTTATTTACTGTTGGTTACTAGGTTACCAATACCACTGTCATCCGCTCAGACAACTTGACGAAAACGCACCGGATTCGTTTTGTGCGAACTTTGAAAAGATTCGCTTCACGTTTGGATGGAAATCCAGCTAATGGCAAGTCGACCGTGTCCCGTAGTCTTAAAAGGTCTAGTCTGTTAAGAAAACAGAGACCCAAAACTAACTACATTTCAACGCTTTGCTAATGCTTTACCGTTATAAAACTAGCGTCTTCTAGGTGGTTTTAGCGTGTTAAACCAGGGATTTCCTGGTTGTTTTAAAATGTTGTACAGAAGTTGCTAGATAGAGTGTTCTCGAGTTCGGTACTTTTTAGGTACCGACCGAATTGCCTTGGTACTACCGAGTATCGAAACATGTCTTGTTTTTCGGTACCAAATTTCGGTACCAAACCTAAGTGGTTAATCACAATAAGCATGCAGCATGATTGGCTGTGGCGAAACATAGAAAACTTTAGCATTGGTGATTTTTTTAAATACTCAAAATATGAGTGTGAAAAAGTCAACAAACTGAAAAATAAAAAAAAAAATTAGGTAATATTATATTGTTAAAACTGGTTACATAAAATTGGTATCGAAAAAGGTATCGTTCAGGAACCGGTATCGAAGTCAAGGTATCGGTATCGAAAATTGTGTTACGATACCCAGCCCTAGAGTGTTCATTATTAAATCTAGTGTGTTTTGCGAATGCTAGTGTAAGACTTGAGACATGCCAGGCAGTCTACTTGAGGAACGACCACTCCCCGAGAAGACAAAAGGATCTTTCTGGAAATGAACATTTGAACTCTCTCTCGTGAAGTTAGCATTACCATTCAAGACGCAAATCTCATCATCCTAATCTATATGTCTTTGACACTTCCCCCACTCCCTCTCTCTCATGTTGAAATCTCCTGAAACTCACCCAAAATCTATATGGTTTATATATGAAAAATTATCATACCGTTTTATAAACATTAGGTATCATTTGAAATGTCTCAGGGCGACTGGTTCAAAGGTCTCATTCCCAAAGAGGTAATTCAAAGTTATTAAGAGTTTTAAGGATAACCTGTATACAAAGGAGGCCATGTTTTGTTTGTTCACATATCTAACCCCAAATACGACAGTGATGCTTGACTTATCAAGTGCTGTTTATAATAGCAAAAGAGCTAAATTATTAATGCACTGCACAATCAAGTTAGCATTGACAGGACAGTGTGTGTTACACATCTCCACATCATATCCATCACATACTGTAATTTTAACCTCCCTTTGCTGCTTAATGTGCCTTAAAGCAGTTTAGCTCAGTTTGAGATACAAAGGTTGTCGCCAGAACTGTCATCGCAGCGGTCTGTCACAAAAGCAGTTAGATAGAGAGAGTTAGCCATATCAAGCGCCACATGACTCAACAGGGGTTTTGGCCTATATTAAGCACAGTGAGTCAGAGACGATGGGTCACATCCGCACACACATCAAGTCGAGCGACAGAGAAATCACACACACACAACCTTTAAGGAAAAGCACAGAGGCAGTACCAGGTTACAGCGAATTGTGCCAACAGAATACACACACTGCCAGAGTAAAATCAAATCAAACTACGCTTTAGTGACAAATTCAACTCTCAGCTCTGTCACAACAACCTGAAACACTACATCAGCAGATTAATAAACACTGATGTAGTAAAAAACAACTAGCGTGACTGTAAACTACAAAACACAGCCAAGCGAAACAGACAAAGCCAAGCCACATCCTACATTATATGCTGATTAATATCGTATTGGTTTGCAATACAAAGATACCACCCATAACATAACTAAGCCCTTTCTTTCTAACAAACAAAATAGTTTGTTTTCTAACATGGTCGTTAATCATCTTGTAGCTGAAGGAAAATCAATTGAGTCCAATAAAGAGGGCAGGAACTGTGAAAGAAAACCATGAATATGTGTGTGTGATGCATACAAGAGTGTGCCGTGATGTGTAAAGAGTGTTTTCTGAGGCTGACTTTGGAACTGGGGGGTGGGGGGTGGGGGGTCAAGGAAAATTAGACTAGGAAGATTAACAGAAAATATATCAGAGGAAAAAATAAAGTATGATGAGAAAGACCATCTGTACCCGCCACGTTGACTTTCTCTGGGTTGACAGGGTTCGGTCCAGGGGTCCCGGTTCCATTGGTCAGGTTAGTACTTGTGCCGTTGTATATGATATTGTCCACTTTAGACTCCAGCTTTGATAATCTCTGCATTATATTATCCAGAAGAACAGCTAGAGTCTTCTTCAGATCTGCACAAAAGAATTTTATATACATATGATTAGCTAAAAGAATACAGTAGAATAAAGGCAGGAATTATTCATTACTAAAATGAAAAAACATGTATAAATGTATACTTACATTTTATTATACATATTAAAAATACAAATTTATATATTTTTTTAATTTTATATAGATTATTTATATATACATATATATCGCTATATATAGTTCTATTAAACAAACAAATTTCTATATATATATATATATATTTAAAATTTAAAATATATTTTATAGAATTTTTAGTTTGATTAATAGAATTATAAGATAGTGATATATGTTTATATGTATATGTATATATATATATATATATATATATATACACAGGCTTATTTTTCAAATGTTTTGCATCCGACTGAAATTTCACGAGAGCATAAATACGCAACTTATATGCAAATATCTGTAAATAAGTCCCAACACCAAGATTCGAAGAACTTTTCTGCCACAAGCTTCAGACTAAGCATTTATCCACCTTGTATTCTGTACAAATAGACTAGAAAAGAATAGAATAGAACAAAATAGGCATTGTGCTCATTTATATTTTCATACCCATGAATGAGGTCAACACACCTCCAGCATTTCAAACAGGTTTTAATATGATTTCAGCTTAAACCCAAGCTTCCTGCAGAAAAGAGGGATTACGAACCATCCATATGCTCAATAACTCAATAATCTGGAGTTTCATCTTGATAACACACTATGAAAGATGATTATGTTCAAATACAGAGAGTCAGAGAGGACGAGTGGGGCGTGGAAGGATCCAAATGCAATTATGAATCAGAACCTGAGATTGATTTAGTAGAGATTGATTCAGTAATTCAGTTTAAAGAATCCAATAAACAAACACACCACATGTAATAAACTATAAAAATACAGGAGGACGAATAACTGTCACTCTTTTACCATGGAACATTTCTCCTCTTAGGGAATTCTGGGTGATGACACCTCGTGGCAATTCGTGGCAACTTGAATGAAGAACAAATAATATGTTGTTAAATTGATTTCCAGTGACATAATTCACTAAGCCTTAAACTACTTAAAAACAAAAAAAAAGGAAGAAGGAAAGAAGAGAAAGTGAAAACTTGTCTAATCCAATCAAAATCCCAAATGATCCAATTCCAATATTTCCTGCTACATATTATTTTTCATGCAAAAAGTTAAACTTGTGAATGTCTTTAACACATCTCTTTCTCTCTGGCTCAAATAATTGTCCAAATCCAGTCGGATTTTCTCTGACAGATGCAGATAAGAGTATAATCCATACTTCTATGTCACGGAGTACTACCTCTAGTCACAATTATGATGACGTCATGACGACATCATCACACTTCTCAGGACTAAATCCCTCAGAGAGCAATAAATCCTTCTGGATCAGTCACATTCGCATAACCGGCATGTGACATTAAAGGTGCTGTATGTACATTTTTGACCGTACAAAAGCATTAAAATACCATAATATGTTTGCAGAGATTTAGGAAGCATTCTAAGTTTGGTTATAGATTTTCCCAGCGTCTACAAATCGACACTTAATACTTCTTATACTCTAGCTCTCTAACTGGTTCCCTAAACTGACGTGCAGAAATTGTCAGACAGACTTGAGTAATTGTCCTTTAAATGCTTTTTATTACTTTATTATTATTATTAAATGCTCTTTTCTCCCAAAAAGCAGCAATAATCATGGCTGGTGGATCTCAGACAAATCCCATTGAGAATCCCACCAATTAAACCCAAATACAACAGTTTTATAGAAGGAGGTATGGCAAAAAAAAATGTCATGAAACATTACTTTAATTTGATTGGTCCTTCATAGAAAAGGTAACCATGTTTTTGGTTTCGAGTTTAGACACCCGTCTAGTTTAATTTCCCGTATTTGTTCTTTAAACACACACATACACACACTGAAAGCCAAATGTTTTCCCTTGGTTTCGTACAGTACATGTTCAAATGTTAGATGTTAATCTAATCTGGTATAAAGATTAACATTTCCACCAGAGTTCAAATACTTGTTTCTCCAAAAAAAACCAAAAAAACTATGCGACAACCAGTTATTCTACTTTGAAATGTGAGTTCCGTGTCAGACTGTTTGTTTTTTGTTTTGGTCCGTGTGGTTCTGGGCACTGCCAAATTAACCAATAGCATTTCGACACCTCGGGCTGCCAGTTGGCAGAAAACAAATCTGTCTAAGGCTTTGATTAGACGGAAACGATTCTGAAAAGAAAACACAATAGTGGCGTTGCGTTATCACTTTTTATTCTGCGTTTAGACGAGCGTATTTGGTGGGAAATCCGCGTGCATATGGTGACGCAAAAGTGTGTGAAATTCAATGTAGTATGCACTCCAGGCGGCTAGGTGGCGATGTGAAGCACTGCCACACAACAACACCAAGTGCCTGCATACAACATTCACTGTCAAGCAGAATTTTGCGTTTTTACCGTTTACACGGGAACGTTTTTAAGATTTCCACTCTGGAGGGTGGTTTCACTTTTTTGCGTTTTTAAGCCCCAAAAACACTGTCGCCGTGTAGACGAAAGGCACATCCGATAAAATATTTTTACGTTTTCAACCACGAGTGTTCTCGTGTAAACAGGGCCTAAATCTGTGTTAGTGAGCACTTCTCCTTTGCCGAGATAATCAATCCACCTCACAGGTGTGGCATATCAAGATGCTGATTAGACGGCATGGTTATGCACAGGTGTGCCTTAAGGCCCGTACACACCGGGACGAATATCAGCGCGCGTTATTCGTCAGCGTTTTTCAACGCGTTTTTTGTGTTCACACCCAAGCGTTTTTCGCTGACGATGAGCCGAGTGAACATGCAAATTCATTCCCTGACATTAGATGGCGCTTAATGTAAAACAGAAATAATAATAGAATACTAGGGTGATCATATTCATGTCTCAATGTTTTATTTTGAGAGATAGAAAAAAAACGAATGAAATAATGATAGAAATAATGTCTTCTGTAAGACAAATAATAAATATAGAAAAATAAATATATAAATAATAAATAACTAAAAAATGCCTCCAAATGTAACAAAAAATAGCTCTCACAAACTTACAAAAACGAACTAACAAAATCTATTTATATCTTTAGTTTTCATTTTCTTTATCTTGCTTTTCTTCCTCGTCCACCTTGTTTGCCCATCTATATTTTCCTGTAGAACTGATCTTTCCCAGCAGTTTTTGTTTGAAAACCAGGAAATTTTCATCACTTAAAAACAGTCAGGACAGGACGTGGAAACAGGACATGTGTAACGCAAAGTTGAGATGTTGCCCAGAGATAAAAACATAGCAGTTGTCAGATGAACAGATGCACGAGAGACGAGAGTTGTCGTATTTCCCCGCGTTTAATAAAACCACTCAAACGTCACACTCGTCCTCCTCATACACGGGGATCGAGCGAGAGAAAACAAACAAACAAGCATCTGGTCACAATAGAAAAATAAAATAAAAGAAAGAATACAAAGAGTCGGCACAGCGGTTATCTCCTCTCCTCACTTGTCAAAATCTAACTGACATTATGCACACTATGCGCAGTTCTCATCTCAACTCAGATTTCTATAAAGCACAAAGTGACCGTTTTACATATGTCCCGGGAAAACAGGACTGTTGGTCACCCTATACTATACTATTATTACAGAAATACTAATATAAATATTATCTTATAGCTCTTTGTGCTCCGAGACCAGCAGCTCAACATTCATCTTGCCCATACAGTAGGTATCTTGTCTCTTCTTCGCCGTATGTGTGCTCGGCAAGACCGTTTTGTGTTTGAGCGCCCTCAAGTTGTGTTTTACTGTAACTTCACAAGTACCAGACACGTGAGCAAACCCGCCAATCTCGTTGGTCGGACAGGTTTTGACGCGGCGCGTCAAACCAAAAAAACGAACCCGAGGCGTTTTTTAAAAAATGACGCTTTTACGCGTGGCGTTTTTCGCGTCAGTGTGAACACTCACATTGGCGCCCATTGTTTAGTCACGAGGCGTTAAACGTCGACGAATAACGCGCGCGAAATTCGTCCCGGTGTGAACAGGCCTTTAAGGCCTGTACACACCGGGACGAATATCAGCGTGCGTTATTCGTCAGCGTTTTTCAACGCGTTTTTTGTGTTCACACCCAAGCGTTTTTCGCTGACGATGAGCCGAGTGAACATGCAAATTCATTCCCTGACATTAGATGGCGCTTAATGTAAAACAGAAATAATAATAGAATACTATACTAGGGTGATCATATTCATGTCTCAATGTTTTATTATGACAGATAGAAAAAAACAAATGAAATAATGATAGAAATAATGTCTTCTGTATTAGAAAAATATATAAATAATAAATAACTAAAAGAAATGCCTCCAAATGTAAAAAAAAAAAAAAATAGCTCTCACACACTTACAAAAACGAACTAACAAAATCTATTCATATCTTTAGTTTTTATTCTCTTTATCTTGTTTTTCTTCCTCGTCCACCTTGTTTGCCCATCTATAGGCTATTTTGCTGTAGGACTGATCTTTTCCAGCAGTTTTTTTGAGAACCAGGACATTTTCATCACTTAAAAACAGTCAGGACAGGACGTGGAAACAGGACATGTGTAACGCACAGTTGAGATGTTGCCCAGAGATAAAAACATAGCAGTTGTCGGATGAACAGATGCACGAGAGACGAGAGTTGTCGTATTTCCCCGCGTTTAATAAAACCACTCAAACGTCACACTCCTCCTCATACACGGGGATCGAGCGAGAAAAAAAAACACAAACAAACATCTGGTCACAATAGAAAATAAAATAAAAGAAAGAATAGAAAGAGTCGGCAGAGCGGTTCTCCTCTCCTCACTTGTCAAAATCTAACTGACATTACGCACACTATGCGCAGTTCTCATCTCAACTCAGATTTCTATAAAGCACAAAGTGACCGCTTTACACATGTCCCGGGAAAACAGGACTGTTGGTCACCCTATACTATACTATTATTACAGAAATACTAATATAAATATTATCGTATAGCTCTTTATTCTCCGAGACCAGCAGCTCAACATGATTCATCTTGCCCAATGCCCATAGGTATCTTGTCTCTTCTTCGCCGTATGTGTGCTCGGCAAGACCGTTTTGTGTTTGAGCGCCCTCAAGTTGTGTTTTACTGTAACTTCACAAGTACCAGACACGTGAGCAAACCCGCCAATCTCGTTGGTCGGACAGGTTTTGACGCGGCGCGTCAAACCAAAAAAACGAACCCGAGGCGTTTTTTTAAAAATGACGCTTTTACGCGTGGCGTTTTTCGCGTCGGTGTGAACACTCACATTGGCGCCCATTGTTTAGTCACGAGGCGTTAAACGTCGACGAATAACGCGCGCGAAATTCGTCCCGGTGTGAACAGGCCTTTAGGCTAGCCACAAGTGCTCACTAACACAGATTTAGACAGATTTATAAACAATATCTGAGAGAAATAGGCCTTTTGTTAACATAGAAAAATTCTTAGATCTTTGAGTTCTTGAAAAATGGGGGCAAAAACAAAAGTGTTGTGTTTAAAGTAGGGCTGTCAAACGATTAATCGCGATTAATCGCATCCAAATAAAAGTTTGTGTTTACATAATATATATGGGTGTAGTGTGTATAATTATTTTGTGTATTTATATATATATATATATATAAATACACACACACATGCATGTATATTTAAGAAAAAAATATTATGTATAAAATAATTTTTTTGTTATATAATATAAATTATATATAAATCTATATACAGTATATACATGAAAATATTTCTTAAATATACAAACATGTGTGTGCATTTGTATATATAAAATAATTATACACACTATACACACACATATATAAACAAAAACTTTTATTTTGGATACGTTTGACAGCCGTAGTATATAGTTTTGTTCAGGGTATAAAGAAAAATATATATATATATTTTAAATAATCAAAAACATACTTTTATATTAAATGAAAAGAATGATACAACAACAACAAAAATTTCAGTCAGAACCAAAAAATCTTAATAATTTTCAGTATTTTAAAGCGTATACACCTTTGATGACCACCATTATAGTTTAGAGGGTTAAGAAGACACAAAAAAGTTAGATTTAGACGAGTCTATTAGAGGAGTCTAACGCATATCTGAAAGACAGGGCAGGATTAGAGTTGTTACCCTTCATATTACCATGCCACGGTGAGTCATATCTGACCTTACACCTACCATTTCGCTCTCTTTCTCACTTTCACTCTCAACGGATAATACAAATTGATCTTTCGCTTCGGCCTGGTTTAATCATTTCAGGGTGTCTGTAACTCTCTCCTCACCTGTCTGTCTGTCTGTCTGTCTCACATAACTGCAAATGGGATACATTAATGGGATGCACATCCTGGAGCTTCAGCGAGACGTAGACAGGAGACAATATACGGACCAAGATTAGATTACAGAGCAAGATATAGATCCACCTTATAAACAAAAAGCCGCAGTTCTGGTTTACAGGAAAAGCAGGAAGCGGACCAGAATACCATACTTGGACATACTACAAACTGACTACAGATCCAAAAGTATACTATACATGAAGATTTAATGTTGAAACCCTAGTTTTTTTTTGTTCGTTTGTTTGTTTGTAGCCTAGACTTGTTGTTTACCTGCTGCGCGGTTACCAGTAGGCGTGGCCTCCTAGGGAAGCAAAGCAAGTGCATTCTGGGAGTTGTTGTCTTTCATCCACATAAGCCTTTTCTCAGTCTAGAAAGCTCCAAATTCAAAAATAATTTCACATTTCTTCTACATAAATAACCCATTTTGAATACGCATTCATCTTTCCAGAGGTGGAGTGACCCTTTAATGCTTCAACACACATACCTGTAATTTGCAAATTAGCCTGAAGGACTTGATTAGCTTGTTCAGCTGTGTTTAATTAGGGTTGAAGCTAAACTCCTTTGTTTGACGGCCCCGACCTAATAAAAGGCTGAACAAACAATAAATATTGGATCTTCTAAAACACCACCGCAGTCCCATTTTATCTACCAAGTGAAAACCGCAATTACAACCAAAATACAAACAAATTCAATTGTACGGTGTACATAAAAAATACATAAAAAAGAATGTACTATTTATTATGATGTACTTCTATTTGCTTTTGAGATTTGCCAAAAATAGCTAAAAATGTTGAGATCACACAATAATTACCAGACCCTCTGCAACACAATTGATGACCCCTGCCTCGAGAAAGTGAAGTACTTCCTCCTCACACTGGTTGAGTTACCTCTAATAGCATGGGCCTTAATTAGCATTATAACCAACCGACTAAGGCATTTGTTGCTGATAATGTTACCGCGGCTACATCTTACACGTCTGACATTTCACCTGCTGGAGCACGGCATGCTATCGGGGTCAACTCTTCTACACGCAACACTTGCACCAAACACCTTTGGAAGTTTCTTGAACCCAGTAAATACAATACTACTTGCGACTTCACCTGTAAAAGAAGCTGTTCAGTGCAAGAAACGATGGGTGTATTGTTTGCAAGAAGCCGTGTGGTGTGCGTCTTTGCTTCTGGATCGATAGTCATCCGTGGGCCGTAATGAGGCCTCTTGCCCAACGGAGCGCCTCTATTAGCGGCATGAATAAGTTATCGACGGCTGTGTTCTGAGAAGGGCTAAAACAGACACCGCCGCAGCTTTCTTCTGCTTAAGAACGATGACATTGTCTCTATAAACATTGATTGTTATGGTTGCGGCCCATCACAAATGCGACTTCTGCATGGTATCGCTTCTTAGCTGCAGCCTCAGGTCATCATGGGAGCTAAATATAGGTTAAAACATGAGAGACAAAGCCAGAGGAGTTAGTGCTGCAGCAGTGCAGCAGCCATGTCGATTTATACGGCCGATATGAGGAACTGACTTCAAACTGACTGCTGGATGCAAATTGCCCAACGGTAGTGTTCCTATCTTGGACTCCTGCAGCTTTTCTACATAGTACAGCTCTCTATTACTCATGCCATCTTCAAACGAATTCAAATGAAGGGTTTTCATGGAGCTGCATATGAGCAGACAACTTCTATTTTGCATTCTGAACTTCTATATCAAGTGTTAGATGAAAGTAGCTCCATCAGTTGCGACTGACCAAAAAGATCTTCAACGTTCCCAAACAAAAAATTAGAAATACGAAAAATTAGAAATGAATCATACGATTGCAATTCTCAGTTATTCAGGTCATTATAGAACGTTATAGTAGATGTAGGTCAAGTAGATTTACTTCCGTAACTCAAAATGTTCACAGCTCATCCAGGTGGCTTCAACGGTCGTGACTGACGATGAAGAATTTAACAAAAAAGAAATGAAACTTTTAGGGATGTCAAACGATTAATCGCGATTAATCGCATCCAAAATAAACGTTTGTTTACATACAGTAATATCTGTGGGTGCACTGTGTATAATTACTTTATATATTTAAAATACCCACATATATTTAAGAAATATTTTCATGTATTTAGATTTATATATAATTTATATTATATATAAATATTTTATATATAAATAAATAAAAAATCTTGAATATACATGCATGTGTGTGTATTTATATATATATATATATATATATAAAATAATTATACACAGTGCACCCACATATATTATGTAAACACAAACTTTTATTTTGGATGCGATTAATCGCGATTAATCGTTTGACAGCCCTAGAAACTTGAAATATGGTGAAAATATGTACATCAGTACATCAAGAATGGATGATTTGTTTTATTTTTTAATTGCGAATATCGCAATCTTGCGATTACGATTCTTAGTTATAGTAAAATGTTCTAGAAGGTGTATTCTGGTTAACAGGATGCATTTCTGTAGTTCAAAATTAGAGCCAGACCGATATATCGGCAGACCGATATTATCGGCCGATATTAGGTATTTTCCAAACTATCGGTATCGGCAGTTATAATGGCCGATAATGAATATTTCAAAAATAAAATTAAAACGTACGAAACACGCTTGAACCATGTCATAAGAGTTGGAGTTGTATAGTTTGTCCACCAGAGGGCACTCTACACTGTTCCTGTTGGCAACACTCGTTGAGTTGGTCACGATACATACATTGCTTGAATAACAATTAAAAGAACAATCTAAACTCAAATAAGCATAACAAAATTTGTGACTATCATGTCCAGTTTAAATAAATAAATAAATAAAATATCGGCCGATATATATCGGATTTTAAAACCCAAAAATATTTGTATCGGTATCGGCCTTCAAAATTCTTTATCGGTCGGGCTCCACTCAAAATGTTCACCACTCATTCCTTTGTCGGTTGGGACTAGCAATGAAGGTCTTTGACATTCCCAAACAAAGAGCAATAAGAATAATGAGATGTCAAACTTACGAAACTTACTACGCAGAATGCTAAGGACTCACCGTATGCCGTCATGGTGCCTACGTAGGGTCCGTCCATCACTCTCTGGTTCTCCTCAGCGAGGGCTTTGATATATCGCTTGCTGAGATCCAATATCTGCATGCGTAGCTGCACGCTGCTTTCATGCGTCGCCCTCTGCTGGATTGTGAAATGAAGCAGCATCATCCCCCAAATAAAACCAAAACTCACAAGGAAGAATCCCAGCTTTTGGGAGGACAACTTCCACAAGTACACAGAGCCCATGGCGAGGAAGTTCGTTTGAGTGTGTGGAGCGTGTGTGCAAATCAGGATGAGTTGAGCCTCATGGTGTTCAGGGGGCGTGGTCTCTAGTTTGTTTTTTCCACACTGCAGTCCATTTCTTTTCGCTCAAGCTGTCAATAACACCAGAGACATGCCCACCAGAAGCTCCATCGCAGTGAAGACACTGGGGAAAAAAAAACAAGAAGAGTTAAAATTAGTATAAAGGCAAGCTTTTTATGACTTCTGATTTTTGTAGACACGATATTGAATGGGCAGACAATAATAAAATGGGAGAAAAAAAAAAAGAGTCGTATCTAAAAACTAGATAGGTAGATACTTGGAGGTGGACTTGACTTGGCCAATAAGAAACTACCCAAAAAATCCTAAGCAATAAGGCAGAAGACCCAAGCAACCACTCAAAAAGCCTGAGTGACCAGACCAACCCAAGAAGTTTCCCTTAGGAAACCCCAAAAGACCCTAACAACCAACCAACTCTAACAAGCACTCTGAGGACCCAGATGATCCTAACAACCACCCAAAGACCCAAGAAATGACCAGGATGACCCTAGCAACCACTGAAATGACCCAAGAAATGACCAAGATGACCCTAGCAACCACTCGAATGACCCAATAAATGACCAGAATGAGCCTAGCAACCACTCAAATGACCCAAGAAAGGACCAGGAGGACCATAGCAAGCAACCACTCAAATGACGCAAGAATTGACCAGGATGACCCTAGCAACCACTGGAATGACCCAAGAAATGACCAGGATGACCCTAGCAACCACTCAAATGACCCAAGAAATGACCAGGATGACCCTAGCAACCACTCAAATGACCCAAGAAATGACCAGGATGACCCTAGCAACCACTCAAATGACCCAAGAAATGACCAGGATGACCCTAGCAACCACTGAAATGACCCAAGAAGTGACCAAGATGACCCTAGCAACCACTCAAATGACCCAAGAAATTACAAGGATGACCCTAGCAACCACTGAAATGACCCAAGAAGTGACCAAGATGACCCTAGCAACCACTCAAATGACCCAAGAAATTACAAGGATGGCCCTAGCAACCACTCAAATGACCCAAGAAATGACCAGGATGACCCTAGCAACCACTGCAATGACCCAAGAAATGACCAAGATGACCCTAGCAACCACTCGAATGGCCCAAGAAATTACAAGGATGACCGTAGCAACCACTCAAATGACCCAAGAAATGACCAGGATGACCCTAGCAACCACTCACATGACTGACAACTGTAGCAACGGCATGCAAAAGAAAACTTTTTTGTTTCACCTGTGCTGCCAGGCAATGTGACTACAACTGTGACATCAAAATGGATGACCACATAACCACCAGGCTCATAATACGGTCTCTAGTGTATCACATTGTTGTGGGATTAAAAAGAGACCGTTTCAACAGACGTAACAGACCGTGTGGTGGCATTTCAATGAGGGGATCAAGTCAAAGCAAAGGATAAAGGATGACAATGTTAAAGCAAACCTGAACTGTCTTCCAGAGAAAGAGAGAGTAGCTAATAGTTATGTAAATTAACACAAATATACTTTTTTGTATGTGGGCAAATATTTAAATATAGTCAGCACTGACATAATGCAGGCACAAAGGTTGAATACACACCAGTTTTAGAAATATTGCCCAATCACTTCACTCTTCTTTCAGACTTACTGTGAGTGACCTTTGATATTTTCTAAGTTAAAGTAACAAACCACTCAATGTCAAGGCGTGACGCACTTATTACAAACCTATTCAAATGCACACCCTTGGGTAAAAGAATGAAAGTTATAACCTAAATAGTAGCAGCTTACAGCTCTAGCATGATATTGTCGTTAGCTTAAAAGAGCAGTCTGGGAAATTTAGTAAGCAAATTTCCAACTAAAATCCATGGTCCAGGAGTTTCGTATGATGAGAGAAATCATTGTGAATTTGCCGTGCCAATGGAAAGCTGTTTGGTTTAAAAGTGTTCATGATGCATACGATATTGGCAAGGGAAAAGAAACCAATTTTCACACAATATTTTGCTTAAATTTAGCTAAAGTGTAATATTGCCAAAAAAAGCATGAAATTGTAACTAATATAAACAGTCAAAGAGGCTCAGCCAATCAAACTATTCATTGTGTACATCGACATTCTGATTTTTTTTTACAATCCAATAGGAGTCAAATTTACATTTACGTAACTTATGTACGAGTCGACATTGTTTCTGTTCAGGGCATGTTAACATATCGCGTCTTTTGCGCGCTCAAGTTCGTTATTTCAAATGTAGGCGTGCGGTATGCGCGCTCATAATGGAAGCGACGCGGTTGCAGAGCGATGCGCTTGTTTTTTCCAAGCGATGAAATAAAAACATCTAAACTTTTCAGAATACCGCAAGTGCACCATAAGCGCACAGTAGGTCATGTGACACAAACCAACCGAAGCGCAACCGCCCTAGCGCTTTGGGAAAAGGAGAATGCGGCGTGCCCAGCGTTTTGTACGCGTCATAGGCGTTATATGTGAATCCGGCCTAACACTGTAAAAAATCAAATGGGAATACACACAACTAGACAATACTATTTCAGTTTTTACCATTTCAAAAATTCACATTTAAAGGGATAGTTCACCCAAAAATGTTTTTACTCAGTCAGTATTTACTCAACCTCATGTTGTTCCAACCCCATAAGACCTTCGTTCATCTTCGGAACACGAATTAAGATATTTTTGATGAAATCTGAGAGCTGGATCATTCCTCCATACTAGTCCATAGGGTTCTTGAGGGATTGATACTTGCCAGCCTCGAAAAGTTATTGAAGACATCGTTAAAATAGTCCAAGTGGCTACAATGGCTCAATCTTAACTTTATCAAGCGACGAGAACACTTTTTGTGCGCAAAAACAAACATAAATAACGACTTTATTTCAACTATTCCTTCCCTTTGAGCGTCTAGTCAGTTAACGTAGTGTGATAGCGTAGAGCTACGTCACACGTAGGCTCGCTATTGGCCGACGCTGGTCATGTGTGTGATGCGTGACGTACAACAACAGATCATAAAGTCGTTATTTATGTTTGTTTTTGCGCACAAACGGTGTTCTCGTTGTTTGATAAACTTAAGATTGAGCCACTGTAGTCACTTGGACTATTTTAACGATGTCTTTAATAACTTTTCGAGGCCGGCAAGTTTCAATCCCTCAAGAAGCCTATGGACTAGTATGGCGGAGTGATCCAGCTCTCAGATATCATCAAAAATATCTTAATTCGTGTTCCGAAGATGAACGAAGGTCTTACGGGGTTGGAACAACATGAGGGTGAGTAAATAAATACCGACAGAATTTTGATTTTGGGGTGAACTATCCCTTTAATTAAATTTTCTTGTGACGTTTACTTGCAGTTTCTAATAAATGTCTTATAAATAACTGTCATAGCAAGTTTTTCTTCACAAAGAGTCGAGATCAACACTCATATTTCGCTTTAAAGGCAGGACTCCTCAAAAATCAATTATTCACAAGTGGTCGAAGTGCCTAATAAAACGCAAAAAGATAAGGTAGCAAAGGGAACCTTCATAATGCGGTCATAAAAATACAACAAAATGAGAAAGACTTTGAAGAGTATCTTTTAATGCTATGAAAAGGATTGTACTAAAGATGTAGTCACAGTTCAATGCACACACACATCGGCATGGTAAAACCCTTCCCTGACAACAACACGTCTTTCTTTGCCAAACAGACATGTTGGATGCCATGTCATGTCAACCTCCCACACACACTCTCTCCCCAATGTAACAGTTGTACAAAATATCAATGAATCTTGAATATGAATCAATGAATAGCAAAAAGCAACAAAGAGAAAAAGATGCCACATGACCAGTGACCACAAAGAAACCAGGTCAAGACCTATTTTCCATTAGGTTAACAAATCTGATTAAATCTGATACTGGTGTGCCTTTAAGGCAAAATACAAAAATACCTTATATATCACATCACATTTAATAATTATACCAAACAATGACTAGTGCCCTAGAAAAATGATACATTACATCATGTGCAGCTAAAATTATGTTTAAGAAAGAAAAACCCTATACTGTCAGTATAAAAAGTAGGTGGGGTGGGCGATATGGCAAAATATCATATCACAATGTATCTTTTCAGAAAATTACAATTCCCGATTTTCTCACGATTCTTCTTTGCTTGTTAGTTTTACTATTGTGCAAGCGACTGCGCATTACCGTCAGCTAATGGCCTTACAATGTAACAAAATGCTGAGTTGTTTTAACCCAATTTTGGGTCAAACATATACAAACTCAAACATTGGTTTAAAAATGTCATTAAAAAATGCTGGGTTGTTTTAACCCAATTTTGGGTCAAATATGGAAAAACCCAGCCATTGGGTTACATTTTTAAGAGTGAACAATGTAACAAAATGTAAAATAAAAAAAAGAATGGTGGACATTTAGGCCAAAGTGGTGAAGATAAAATTTTAGTTTTTTTTTTGTTATTAAAAAAGTAAGATACACATTACACAATATACAATTTAAATAAACACTAACAGTGCTTTATTTTTATTTACACTCTAAAAAATGCTGGGTTGTTCAACCCAAAATTTGGGTCAAACATAGACAAAACCAAATGTTGGGTTAAAAATGTAATTAAAAAAAATGTACAGTTGAAGTTGAGTTAAAATTTAAAATTACATTTATAACCCAACCCAACATTGGGTTTGTCCATATTTGACCCAAATTGAAAAAAGTGTACACTCTAAAAAATGCTGGTTGTTTCAACCCAAATTTGGTAAAATATAGACAAAACCAAATGTTGGGTTAAAAATGTAATTAAAAAAAAATGTACAGTTGAAGTTGAGTTAAAATTTTAAAATACATTTATAACCCAACTCAACACATTTGGGTTTGTCCATATTTGACCCCAAATTGAAAAAAGTGTACACTCTAAAAAATGCTGGGTTGTTCAACCCAAATTTGGGTAAAATATAGACAAAACCAAATGTGGGTTAAAAATGTAATTTAAAAAAAATGTACAGTTGAAGTTGAGTTAAAATAATTTAAATTACATTTATAACCCAACCCAACATTTGGGTTTGTCCATATTTGACCCAAATTGAAAAAAGTGTACACTCTAAAAAATGCTGGTTGTTTCAATCCAAATTTGGGTGAAATATGGACAAA